GGCTGGAAAGCTGCACAAGGTGGAGGAAAAGACCTGGGGGTGCTGGTTGGCAGCAGCTGAACTTGATCCAGCAGTATGCCTAGGTAACCAAGTGGGCCAATGGCTTCCTGGCATGTATCAGCATTAGAGTGGCCAAGAGGACCAGGGCAGTGACTATCCCTCTGTGCTGGGCATTGGTGAGATGCCTCCAATCCTGGGGTCAGTTTTGGGCCCCTCAGGACAAGAAACACATTGAGGTACTGGAGTGTGTGCAGAGAAGGGCACTGGAGCTTGGGAAGGGTCTGGAGCACAAGTCCTATGAAGAGAGGCTGAGAGAACTGGGGTTGTTTAGCTTGGAGAAGAGGAGGCTTAGGGGGGACCTTACATCTCTCTACAGCTACCTGACAGGAGGTTGTATCCAGGTGGGGATTGGTCTCTTTTCCCAAGTAATAAGGGACAGAATTAGAGGAAATGGCCTCAAATTGCACCATGGGAGTTTATTTTGGATGGCATGAGGAATATATTCACTGAAAGGGTTCTCAAACCCTGACACAGGCTGCCCAGGGAAGTGGTGGAGTCACCACCCCTGGAGAGATTTAAAAGACATGTAGATGTGGCACTTGAGGATGTGATTTAGTGGTGGATTTGGCAGTACTGGGTTCACAGTTGACTCAATGATCTTAAAGGTTCTTTCCAACCTGAACAATTCTATAATGTCAGAAGCACTGGAACTATTTATTGGTATTTGCTGCAGTGTTGCTTTCTGCTCGTAGCATCTTCCTTGCTCATGATGTGAAGCAGTTCTAAGTGGCATATACTGCATAACTGAGAACTTTGACATTTCAGAGATGTTACATTGCATAACAATAGAATCTTTTCAGAGGAATCTTTCATTGATGTGCCAATTTTTCGCATAAATTGTTTGTACAGCATTAGATTATTTGTCTTCAGAGACTATTGCTTTGAAGAGTATTCTCCAGCGAGAGGGGGAAGGTTCATCTTTGTGCAGGGATGCCAAGCAGAATGTGGAGGGAGATCTGATTTGAAAAGACAAAGTTCTAGTTCCAGGTACATATCTAAATTTAGAAATGCTGTCACCAGTGCTGTGCTTAGAGAAAAGAAAAAGGAAAGAGTACCAAAGAAATTTCTTGTGCCTGTCTAGTCACATTTCCATGGTAGTGACCAAACCCATTGAACTCAGTTTGAAATCCAACTTCATAGCAAATATGCTCTACCTTGAAGCTAAAATTGCTATTTTCTTTATCAGAGAATAATAAGAAAAACCAAACACTGAACTCTTTGGATTAATTAGCAATCCTATTCCTTGCATTTTACATTGAAACTCAGGGAACAGTAATCAATCCTTGGAATATTCACTTGGTGTCTCATTTTTCTTGTAGCTTGATATTATGGATATATGGATAAACTTGAAGCTCCAACTAACTAGTTAACGATCAACTGGTTATTAAGTGACACCAGCAAATATTGCCTGTCTGTGGTTTTTAAACCTTGTGGATGATGGTTCATTGGAAAGGTTTAATTGTGTATACTAGATCACATGAACTACACAGAACTGAATTGTGTCATGGAACTGTGTTGCACAGAAGTGAAGTTCTGTCTGATAACTGGGTGCTCTTAGCCCAAATAAATGTGAAAATATGTTTACACTAATTCTTTTCCTTAACAAGTTTACAGTTTGAAAGAAAATATATGGTTTAATGTTCATTTTTTGGACTTAAAGACAACTAACACCTTAAGGGTAATACCCACCACACTAAAAACCTATATTGTTGTAAGGCAGAACATGAGTTATACTGAAAGCAATCCTGTTGTAAGCAATGTGAAAATAAATCTTTGTGTTTAAAGATCTCACAGGCTTCTGAAGGATGTGTGATCAGAAGAGCTCCATACTGAATAGTTCATGCAAGTGTTCTGGCTACTGCTTTTTTATAGTACAAAAAAGATAACCAGCTGCTCAGGGTTTCACCTCGATTCTGTAGAAGACTTTAATACAACCCATCCAGGATGCCTTAAATAAACAATTGCTTCCTATCTTGCATGCTGATAATGCTGTATCTCCAGTAAACTTCTCTCTGTGAGAGGTCTGGTAAGAATTTCTTACAACTGTTCTGGTAAAGTATGTTGGATTCAGCACAACTGCATATGTGAATTCTTTGGCTGTATTTAATTTTGTCATTAGCCTGGTAAAATTAGAAGTGGTTCTCTTGTGCCAGTATAACCTGAGACTTCCAGAAATTGCTTTATTAGCTCAGTTCTCAGGGTGGAAGGGTCTATTCCTGATTAATCCAGTTGCTGTTCTGAGTCATTTCTAATAAGTACACCCAGTTTCTGTATAAAGAAATACCTCAAGATGTGGTTCAGGAACAGAACCAAAGTTGCTTCAGTTGTTAAATGCCATTTGCTTTCCTGTTTTGTGTTTTCTCCCTTTTGTTTTATTGGAAAAAAAAAATGTGGAGATGGGAGGCAGTGCCATGATCTGCAACTTGAGCCTTCAGTGTATTATTAGGCAAGACACAGTTGTTCAAGAATTCCAAACATCTGTCTTCTGTAGGAATGTGAATTTCCTCAGCATGAGGGCACTGCTGAAATCTAACATCATCCAACAATGCAGACAGCGAGTGCAAGCTTTACTCAGAAGGAAGACAATTTATAAGGTAAATCCTCATTTCTAAAGTCTAAGTGAAGTCTTACAGTGAGTAGCAAAAGAGAAACAGCATTTGATGCTGAGAATCAAAAATATGTTGTAAATAGTAATTTGCATTTGTTCTGATAAAACTGTTCTGTTAAGCTATCAAATGCCTTTTGTGACACATATGAAATTGTTCAGTGAGGAACAGATAGCAATATGAACACTGGGAGGGAAATACATTAATATTCTCAGGCAAGAACATCCTATTGCACGCTGATCTGCAAGTGGGTTTTATCTGTGGTCAAGAAGGAGAATATGGTGATCAAATTACCAAATAAAAGCTGCTGCAATCAGGTTTGGCAAATAGTTTTTGATTAGGTCTTGCAGCTGGATTGCATAACCCCTGGTGTCAGTCTTGTCTGGGGGATGAAGGGATGGAGAGCAGCCCTGTGGAGAAGGACTTGGGGGTACTGGTGGAGGAGAGGCTGGGCATGACCCAGCAACATGTTCTGACAGCCCTGATACCAAATGTGTCCTGGGCTACATCCAAAGCAGGCAGCAGGGCAAGGGAAGGGATTCTGGCCCTCTGCTC